ACTTATTTGTATTTTTTTTTAAATTTAGAACTATACTTGCAATTAGTTCATTATTTTTTCTTCTTTTATTTATTTATTTATTTTTTTATTTAAAGAGGAGGGTATTAGTCATTTTAGAATGCTTTATTAAAAAATGAAAGAAAATATTGTATTATGTACTTAAAAGATTATTTACGGGAGTTTTCATCAATATGAAATGATATGGATTTATTTCGCAATAAAGGCAAAGGTAAATTAGATTTTGCATTAATTACCCTTGAATGTATGCTTGCATCTTTTGATTGTTATTGATAGGGATGGCATTTGTTGGATTGGGCCGATCGGGTTTGGGCTTAACTTGACCGTCAAATCAACTCTTTAGGTTGGACGAAATCTAGCCCAAAATGGACCTATGTTAGTCAAAATTTGAGTATGAATATGATTGTTTTCAGTCAATTTGAGCCCTATTGGATCAGTTTGACCATTTAAAAGGTAAAATACCCTTGAAAATATTTTTTTTTTTTTTTTTTTTTTGTAATAACAAACAAAAGTTACCCAAAAATAAACTCGCCAAGTCACGAAATCCACCAAAACCGACTTGAGTTGGTTATGATCATGTCGATTTTGTAGTTTGACGGGTAAAATAACTTGCCCTCGTTATTAAGATATGAAATTGGTTATGGCATCATAACATATTTTGTAACTAATGTGTTTAATGGTGGTTTTAAGTTGTTCCATGACTAACCTAATAACCTAATGTTCTTAATAGTACGAAAGTGTATTTTTTCGAGTGGTTAATTGCATATTGGTGGATCTTTGCTTTATAAGCGTGGTGTGCATGTTATAAATCATTTGAATGTTTTACTCTAGGGTATGATGTGAGATAAAATAGCGAACTCTGACACACCTCTTCTAAACTCTTAAGTTCTTATGTCGAGATCATCCATCATATATTCGTTATCTCTGTAAGAGTTCAATTACGCTCTTAAATTTAATTTGAAGTTGTATTATGAATCATTTCTTTTATCTATAACTAGTCGTCTGCCAATGCACTGTACTGTGTTACTTTTTAAGTAATGTTAGTTTGTTGAGTTTCACGGATTTACAAGAGATATTTTAGTTGAATGAGATCAATAAAATAAACTTAATTTGACAAGGTAAATTTCCATATGAGTTTACCAATAAAATACAGTTTTGAAACATATGAAGCAAACAAAGAAATTAAGAAATGTCTTTTTGAAACCATTAATAGAAAAACATAGAAGCGTATACTGTCCTGGAATTCCCGATGCTTATTAACTTGTTACATTAAAAAATGAAATTAGCTTAAAAGGGAAAAAAAAATTATGCAACAGAGTAATAATTTTGCAGTCAAGTAACAATTTTAAATTATCAATGTGGCTATCCAACATGTATGACAACATGTTTATTGACAATTTTTTTTTAGACTTATTATATGTGAAGTGAACAACGAAAGAGCATTGTATAGCACACATGTTGGACATAAAATTTCTTGAAAAAATTGATTAAGATATTGGTGCAAAAAAATATATAGGGCTCCATATTTGTTGAGTTAAACATATGAACCACCAAATAAAATTTATAAGCATGGAAAAAAAAAATCAAGGTGATATAATCGAAATGAAAAGTTAAAATGACGCCTTACCTTGACCCCCATTTATGTCTTGTCCATTTCGTGACTCTGTAAGTGGTAGATGATTGATTATCTCCGGATATAGGATTATCATGATTGTACCTTAAAAGAAACTTCGTTGTTAGTTTTTACATTCGTATTTATCAGTTTGTTCTAATTTGAAAATTAAAGCATGAAATGTTAGTAAACAAATTAATTCAAGATGTTTTGGTATAGTAATTTGTCATTTTATTTTACTTATCTTGTAACCTTTTGAAGAATAGTATGACGGAAGAAATTGAATGAAAAGTTTTCTGATGATTTTTTACTGTGCATTTAAACACTTATAGTGAAAAACGCAAAAATTAAATAGGAATACTCATTGAAAGGTTTAATAGAAGAGGTACCAAAAATAATTCTACCTTGACAACGTAGATGGCTAGCCAAAGATGTACCACTATTATTGCCCTCATCCTTATCGTTATCACTATTTTTGCAAGAGTGATCAATAGCATCAACTGTGGTTCGATAACTGACTAGCACCTCCATCCAATGTATGTTTGAAGTCTCTCTCCTCATACCTCTGGGGTTTTGACAATCTCTACAGAACCAAATGCTCGTAAAAAAGAGAGACAATCATTAAAATACTTCAGAAAGTGAAATTGCTAGCACCCTAGAATTTCAACTAAGAGATCTATAAACTTGCTGAATAAATTTTATTCTCACAAATTGTGGCATTTGCTTCAAGAAATATAATTGCTAAAAAGAAGATCTTATGAGGTTACCTTGAAAATCCAAACAACCATAAGTGATTGCATTCTATATTTAAAAATGCTCTGGTTAGGAGCATTAAAAAATTTAGCAACATAACTGTAGGAGTAGCTGTGGTTTCAACATATCAACTGTGTAAAAAGGCAATTGCTAGAGTTAGTTAACCTTGTGTTTTTCAACTTGAGAGTGCTTAGAACTATGAAGACTAAAAAGCACACAAATCACAGTGCAACTATAGCTAGGAACATATTTTACTGAAAACATGTACACCGGTAAAATTATATAAAAGTGTTGCAATAGTCAATTTTACCGAGCCTACTTCATCCAGTGACTTAGAGCCTATTTGGGAGTGATTTTGAGAATTGATTTTTTGACCGTTAGAAGAAAAGTGGAGTCCACCTAAGAAAGAAGAAATCAAATATGATGGCTGGAATAATAAAATAACAATCAAAAAATCAATTTTTTGAGGGAAAAAAAGCACTCCCAAACAAGCTCTTAGCCAATTGGAAAACTATCAAATCATAGAAAATCAATTTGAAGGTCAATAAAATGGAAGCAATCTCAACATTACATTATGAACAACTATTAGCTGATCATGGTACCTTATGAGAATTGTAGGCAAGCTAAACATTCATAGGAATGCAATTGTCCATATATACATTGGCAGGGTCCAAGATTAATAAGTTATAGTGCTACGTCTCGTTTATCTGATCTTAAACCCAGATGCCAATTATGGTTATTCAATGGCCGTCATGTTGAAAGTACAAGAAAAAGGTGGAAAAGGATTATGGTTACTTTAAGAGAACTGGATAATGACAGTAAAAAATGGTTTGCGCGTGAAAAAGGGGGTACTCATAAGTAAAATATAATTAATGGGTAGAGTCTTCTAAGGTAAAGAAGATTTAGAAGTGCAAATCATGCCTTTGGTAACTTGTCAAGTGGTCTTTGTTCCCCCAATGAAATAAATTATTCCATATACAATTGATATACAGTACTAACCTAAATAAATATGAACATAATCGAAACCATATAAGAAAAAAAATAAAGCAAAAGTAAAAAGTAATCCCGCACCTGAAAAACCATCAAATCAATTGAATGGTTGTGTGGAAAGACACATGAAATTACATATATGATAATTAATATTTCAATTCACATTAAGATCATACCCCGAGAAGATAGCCTTCCTATTTTTCCTCTTCATACAAGCACACATGCCTTTGAAAGATCGTGTAATTATTACTCTTCACGAGAACAGTTTGTGTATTTGAATGGAGGGAAAGGGACCATTTGACTTTGGTGTATACTGGAAATAATTTATGTGCATGTATTCATATAATCAAAGGAGAATACATCATATATTAATAGAAAGAACTTCAATAATACAAAAGAATGCAATCCAAAGAATGGGTGCTTAAATGTAGAAAATCAGTATACAAGAGATAAATATATAAATCTTATTAAATGTTATATCACTTGTTTGTCTGAATGTAAATAAAATTTTTCATATCATAAAATGGAGGGTTTACAAACAAGACATCATTATGATAACCAGAATACAACAAAATTGCACCTACCTAGGTAACATAAAACAATAGGTACACCATGGGTTTCCTTGTAATTAGAAAAAAAAAAATTTACATGCTAAACAGAACAAATCATAAAAATCACATATTGTATGTTTATGGAAATTCAAGACCTGTTGAGGACATAACATGAATTTTGTTGTTAATATAGAGGAAAAAGAGTTAGGCTTTGGAGCTCAACAAAGTGTAATAATCGAGAGCTGCTCTTCAATGGAAAGGAAAAGAGAAAGGAAAAGGAAAAGGGACATGAAAAGGAGCAAAAATTACAACGTTAAGGCTGCTCTAAGGAAACTAAATAATGAACAACATAAAACCAATTCAATGTGAAAGCACATTACCATATCAAAATTATTAGAAATAAACATCTTCAAGTTTATCCAAGTTTGCCTTTGAATGCACCTTCTTAGGCAGGCCCGATCCTGCCTAAAGGCAGATGAGGCCTGCGTTTCAGGCCCAAAATCTAAGGAGTCCTCATATTGCTGGCCCCTTTTTTTTTTTTTTTTTTTTTTTTTTAAAAATGGCCCAAAAAAAAAGGGGCTCTTTTTTTTTTTTTTTGCTTTGAACAATGGCCCAAAATCTAAGGGGCCTCTTTTTTTAATTTTGGGATAATTAGGTGCAATACCCTAAAAAAATTAAGTATTTGATTAATACCTTAAAACTGACTTAAACTACTATTATCGCATTAATTACGTTCAAAACATTGACACCCACAACAAAAACCTAAATTAGAAGGGGGAATCCTTGCATCAGTAAACTATCGAGAAACCTTCATTCCCGATTCCGACTTGGACTCCAGTATTCTTGTAGAGAGAAAACCTTACCCACCAATTTAATGTTGTTGCATCTTCGTAGTTCTAACGAGAGTTTCCCTAGGGACGATTGGGTGATTTTGGGGCAAATTTTGAGCGAAAAACTTTTCTTGCTCTGTAAAAGTTTGAATTTGGCAAATCTTTATCGATATTTGGTCGATTTTATCAATGGTCAAAGTAGGTAAATGAATATCATGAATTAAAGTCATCAAAGAGAAATTCTGGGAGTATAGAAGGAAATTCAAACTTGAAGAATTACACTCGTGAATTTGAAGGTAATTTTGAATACACTTTATTTTTGAGGTTGAACTTTGAATTTTAGTAGTTTTTTGGTTTACATTAAAAAAATTGTCATTAAATTTTGGATTAGCTCCAAAATTAAATGGTGCTCTTTCCCTTTGATTTTCTATGATACCATCAAGGTGTTTGACAAAATGTCTCAATTGAAATTTACATTTACATTTAAAGACGTGATGTAAACATCATATGGCTTTTGTATAAATTGTGAAAGCATTATGAAGTTTATTGTCTAATTCGACAAATTTGAACAACGTCCAGTTATGTAAATATGAAGAAAGAGTAAATAGTAAATCCTGTTGAAAAATGGACATCAAACAGGGGCTAAATTACTTTGAACAAAGTAAATAGTAAATACTCATGAAAAATGGGAGACGGTTCATTGAGAAAAAGAGTCAAGTCATAAATCCAGGGAAGACAAAATTTCTCAGTCACAAAAAAGACGTTTTGATTTTCCTATTAATCATGAAATGGACAAAACTTCCTTAACATTTATAATTTTCTATTTGTGAATATACTGTACTCATTTAAGAATATTTATATTGATGCATGATGTTCTGTTCTATTCTTCAATAAGGAAATGGTCCGAGGTTTTTTCTCTTCCCCTTAATTTCTCTAATCTCCGTCCAGTAATTTTTAATCTCTTCTCCGCCTCCAATGGTTGCTTTCGATTTTTTCCCTTATTTTTCTCATTATTTACAATTTCATTGAGCCAGAATGGCCTTCTTCTGGAGATTTTCTTCTGTTCCATTGCTTGGCCTCCTGTCTCTCTTCCTCACCACCACCCTTCCGCCACCCTTGGCCATAGCCCTCACAACGACAAGCCTCCGCTTTCGAAAGCCATCCACCACCGCAGTTGATGTCCCCGTTTTCAACGTAGACTTTTTCAAAATGGTGAGACATGTGGATCAAAGTAAATAATAAATACTTTTTAATGGGCATTCTCTAAGTTTTTGCAATCCATGCAATGAAATTGAAAGTGGAGGGTAAAGTTTGGGAGTACTATTTATTGCTTTTGTCTGAAAATTATTGGAATTCCTGCATTGATATTTGTTCCATTTGATAGGATTTTCCCGAGTGATTTAAGATGTATGTGGTGGAGAGTAGAGAAGGATGTTAAAGCACACAACTTGTGATTTTAATGATCCTGGATAGGCTTGGTTAGATTCACCATCAATCAAGTTCAACATTTTGCACAATTGGAATGAAATGGATCTTGAAATGGTGTTGTCCCGGGCTTACATATGGCACACGATGTTCAATAAGTCTCCGAGCCAACTAGCTGGTTGAAGAGCAAGTAACAATATCTGTAAGATGGGCCTTTTTGTGCTACCTTTATTTGAAGTTTTCACAGATTTGTTTTTGTGAAGAATTTCAATTTTCCGTTCTGTATTATGATTTGTAATATTTGTGTTCTTGGTTACTGAAGAAAAGGGAAAGGGAAAATAAACTCTGATGTCCATTTTTTGATGATATTCAATTGGCATGCGTAAGTTTAATTCATATTTACTTAGGTAGATCCATAATACATTTTGTTTAAACTTATGATTTCAATCTTGTAAAAACATTGTGAGGGAAGTTTTCGATTCTGGTTGGTAGTTTTGTGGCTACAGCAATGCTGTTAGATGTGTAATTGAAGGAAGGTTGATGGGTTTGGATCGATGTGGTTGTGGTGGTATGTTGTGGTAGGTGGCAAATCTTTTTAGTAGAAATCTGCTTTGTACTTATTTGCTTTGGAGCATGTTACATGTACATCAAGGCCTACATAATGATTTACATAATGCTACATGATTCTTTATCATTGGATAATTTTCTATAATATATTTGGTTGTTGTTTTAATGTTAGTTTTTCAAGTTAGTAATGGGTCGAATAATACATTGTTGAAATTTGCATTTACGTTGATTTCGCCGGGGGTCTAATTTCCAGGTTTCGCCTCGAGCCCCGAGAATCACAGGACCGGCTCTGTTCTTAGGCATACCTCATTTTCAACAATAGGAATTCACATAAAATTATTAAGAATCTGAAATGCCATTATAACAGTGACTGAGAATTAGAATGTCGGATGGAAGCAAAAGCAAAGAGATGGCATATTTTAATATCTTCATAAGAAGTGATTTTGTGAAGTTGATAAGTTACATCCACAATAGAAACATTAGGGTTAAGAGGATAGAAAGCCATTCTAATCATTTGCTGTTGACTTTTGTTATTACTTTTCTAACTGCCCATGAGTTCAATCCAAAAAATATTATTAGATATGATATAAATTTTCAAATCGAGATTGTCGTATACCTTTGCTGCACCAGCAGAACTTAGGATGATGTACAAACCAATGTCATAGACACCCCTCTGATTTTCAATCTATCAACTGTCTTTTCTGTGGCTATAGAACGTTTATTAATAAGTAAGATTTCGAGGACTAGATATAAACTAATTTGGAGTATACAGTGTATATAGTTTTGTGCACACATCACATACCTATTGTTGTAGGATACCAAATTCATGGTGAATCACCTGCAAGAAAAAGTATGGAAAACAGCCTTAACAAACATGATAATTTGCCTAACTAGCTCTAAAAAGAAAAAAAAGAAGATAAAATCATCTAATAGAATCACTTGAAGAACAGCAAGCACTTATAAGGGAAATTTAATATTGAAATATTTATGTCTACTAGTGGGGTGAACGTGCGTTACACGTTAGTTGATTAACTAATGTTAGAAATAAGTGTTTGTAAATTTTCCAAAAATTCATTTGTAAATGTGAAAGACATTTTGAAACTAGTTTTAAAAAGAATAATAAAAATGAAAATCTTGTTTATAAAGAATAAAGTTCAACTTTTGTTAGTGAGTCATTCATCTACATTAATGAAATATTGTTATTAGACAATATTTTGTATGAAGATGAAACTTGATTTTTGTGTATTCAAATTATGACTTTGTTTTGTTTGTTAGTTTGGACTTTTATGAATATTTTTTGACAAAATATTTCATTTGATGATTGATAATTTGAGGTTGAATTTGTTTGATGTTTATTTTTTAGATTTGGACATATGTTACTAATTTATGAATATAGTGATAGATTTTAATGTGCACTTATCATATGAAAATTTAAGTAATAGAATCAGAATAAAATAAAATAAAATCAGAATCGAATGGTTTGCTTTCATATCTTTTAAAAAAAATCATTGGTTCCATTACCAAAAAATTATTGGGTTATGGTTTGCTTTGGTTCGCTTGGATCCAGAATTAAATGGAATCCCGTCAATCCCTAATGACGAAATTAAAACACAAAAAATTTAAGTATGCATTTCATTTGTTCAAACTCTAAAATTAAGTATGCATTCTATATCTAGTTACAATTTATGTATATAACTTATTTTACACTTAAAATTAGTATTCTAAAAAATATAAAAGTGCTGCAAGGTAATGAGATCAAGTTTCAAGTTTAAGTTGATGCAAGTGAAATTTATGTATTAAAAAAATACAAAGCATGATAAGACAACAATATCAAACTTAATTGAAATTTAGATGAGGTTTTCAGAATAATGATTGATATAATAATAAAAATTTACATTCACACCATTTTTATATATTTCTTAAGAAAATCCCTTTTCTACCAAAATTTCTTTATTAAGTCAATAAATCAAAATTAACCTAAAATAAGGGCCAAATCAGTTTAGCTAAAAATTAAATTTTCAGTAGATTTTGATAAATAAAAAAAATTGATAAAATGTGTGCTTAAGAATTGATAAATTAAAAAATAAGGTCAAACATATATTTATGAGGTTAAATCCATCAATGATCACTCAATTTTATATTTAATGTCACTATGATCACTCTATTTGATTTTATTTCACCATAACCATAGAATTCATATAATGTTTCACCATGACCATCCAACTTCTTTTCATCTTTTTACTAATTTTAAAAATAATAAAATGGTAATTTTTGGATTATATATATATAAACATTTTTGTTAAAATAAATTTTTATTTTATTTTGAAAACCCTTCTTTCTAAACTAACTTTTTATTTTATTTTTCTAAGTAACATATTTTTAAAATATTTTTTTAAATAAGATTTTATTTTGTTTTTAAAATGTTGTTTTTTTTAAAATAAGTTTTTATTTTATTTTTTTAAGTAACATTTTTTAAATAAGTTTTTATTTTAATTTTTTAAATTTAATTTATATATAATGTGAAGTTATCGTTTTACCCATTTTAAAATTAGTAAAAATGATGAAAAGAAGTTAAGTAATCATGATAAAACGTAATATGAATTTGGGCGATCATACCGACATTAAGTATAAATTTTGATGATCATGATAAAACAAAAACAAATTAAAAGATACACAAATATAAAATTGTATACTCAAATACGTTGATTCATAGTCAAAACAAAAATAAATAGAAAACAAAATAAACATACTATCTTAAAACTAGATAATTACTTAAGAAAGATTAAATTTTTAGCACTAAAATATACAAAATATAAAACATAGTGTACAAATTGTAAATACAACATTTCCCCTAAAACCAATCTTTGGCACATGGTGAGTCAGCCCTTGTTTAACTTTGAATTTGTGTGCCTTGAAAGCTTAGCTCAAGGTGCCACAAGTAGCAAGATTAGTTTGAGTTACAAGGAGAAACGTGCATTTGGTTTGTTGTTTTTAGTTTTGCAAAATATTGAAAACATGTTTGTTTGATATTTCTAAAAATGCATTTTCGAAAATAAAGATAAAATTATAACATAAAACTCAAAGGGTTAATTTTACAAACGGTCACTGAAGTTACAGAAAAATTACAAAACGGTCACTGAAGTTTAAAACTTTCAGTAACGGTCACTTAAGTATTGGGACGCTTTCAAAAATGGTCACTGAAGTTTAAAAATTTTTGAGCTACTTTTGCGACAATTTTTCGACTACTTCCGACCACCGATACCACCGGATTTTGATACCATTGGAAATCCTACAATGTCCTCTTCAATTGCAACAAAAAATCTCCCCCAAACTCCAAAAGATTCCGCCGAAATAAACCCACAAAGTTGCCTACCCGAAAAGGCAAAAATCTGCCCAAATTTTCAGATTTTTGGTGGATTTTTGCAACGATTTTTTGACAACTTCCAACCACTAAAATAGCCAAATTTTGATACCGTTGGAAAGCCCACAATGTCCTCTTTAATTAGCATCCAAAATCTCCCCAAAATTCCAAAGGATTCGATCAGAATAAACTCACAAAGTTGGCATCCCAGATTTTCGCCTTTTTGGGATGTCGAATTTGCGGGTTTATTCCGGCCGAATCCTTTGGAGTTTGGGGGAGATTTTGGATGGTAATTGAAGGGGACATTGTGGGCTTTCCAACGGTATCAAAATCTGACAGTCTTGATGGTCGAAAGTCACTAGAAAATTGCTGTAAAAATCGCTCAAAAATCATAAAAATCTGGGCAGATTTTCAAATTTTTTGGGGCTACATTTGCAGTAATTTTTCCGTCGAATTCCTTGGTGTTACGGAGAGATTTTGAGTGGTAATTGAAGAGGACGTTGTGGGCTTTTCAACGGTATCAAAATTCGATAGTATCGATGGTTGAAAATAGTCGAAAAATTGCCGCAAATGTAACCAAAAAAATTAAAAAAGTGTTTTTCGACTTCAGTGATCGTTTCAGAAACTTTTTAAATTTCAGTGATCATTTTTGAAAGCGTCTCAATACTTAAGTGATCATTACTGAAAGTTTTAAACTTCAGTGACCGTTTTGTAATTTTTCTGTAAGTTCAGTGACCGTTTGTGAAATTAACCCAAAACTCAAAACATATTTTACGATTTTTGAGTATTTTTAGTGAAAATTTTGAAAAATGAAAAATAGGCGTTTAAACGAAAAATTTATTTATAATTGATAAATTCATGAAAAAATAAAATTATATAATTTCTAGAAAAATAAAAATAGTTAAAGCTCTTATAATTATTTACATAAAAGATTTTAAAAATATATTTAAAGAAACACATAAAAATCTTCTTAGTGCATGTCATTAATTTATTTTTTCTATTTCCTATATTTTGAACTCAATTTATTATTTATTTTTATTTTACTTTTATAATAAGAAAAAAAATTGTAAGATTCAACAACTTTAAAATATATATATTACTTGATAATGTTAACATACAATTATTCTATTTTACAAAATAATTAAATTTTATGAAATGAAATGTTATTTAAAAAAAATTAGAATTTCAAACCAAATGTATTTTCTAATTTTTTTTTTGAGAAATAATTTTTTAAAACGACAAATCAAACGCGTTTTTAACAATCTAAAAATCAAATCTCAAAACCAAAAAACTAAAAATGAACTCAAACCTCAAAACTAAAAAAGAAGCCTAGCGGGCCTTTAAAATTCGTACTTTGGAGTAACAATCTTTAAAAATTATATTCTTGATTTGGATACAATTTATAAATATGTTTATAAATTTAGTTAAAATCAAGTGATT